TGTCCAGATCTATAACAACTTTCATTGTTATGTGGAATAGGTATGGAACATAAACAGGAGGGTTCCATTTGTGTAAAAAGGGAGGGAGGAAATATATATGCATAGAAATCTCTAGAAGTTTGTATAAGAACCTGGTGAAAGCAGTTGCTTCCTAGAAGGAGAAAATCAGGAGTTAAGAGGCTTGAGTAGACAAAGGAGTAGTTTTGTGTACCTTAAGTTATATTTTATTTTCCCTTTTACAGGTTTTTCAAAATTTAAGTGTTTGAATAGCTAATGCATTTACATGGTTCATAAGTCAAAAACTACCATGTGGTCATCTTTGCAGATGTTGAAAGTTGGGAGAAAATTCAATGTCATTTCTTAAAAAGGCAAGTTTAGAAGGGGTCTTCTGTTACAAGATACCATTTATCAGTGGAATCTATTTCAGTCTCAAAGCTACTCTTGATAGTGGGAAAGTTCTGGAAGCATCTCCTCTAAAATCAAGGACAAATCAGCCATTTCCAGTTTTATTTAACTTCCTTGCAGAGTTACTAGCCTATGCACTTAGACAAGAAAATAATTTAGAGGGGTCAACACTGAAAAAGAACAGGAGAAATTACTGTTTGTACAAGTTCCTGTACACATGAATATGTGTACCTAGAAACTCAAGAAAAGTAACTAAAAAACTACTGTATCCCATAGGAGGATTCAGGAAGAAATAAAGTATAAAATTAACAGAAACTAGCAGTTTTTGAACAAAAGCCAGTTTGAAGATATAATGGGAAAAAAGATGACAGTGAAAGACATAAGATTCTAAGAACAAGTTTAGTAAGAATCTCATGTAGTGAGTCGGAAGAACACCTCAAGGCGCCCTGCGGGACTCAGGAGATGGGGCTGAAAGCTCACCTGCAGTCTAAACACCTTCCATGTTCTGAGTAAAGTTAAAGGCAAAGAAAGCCCCACCGAGTGTGGACGCTTCTCCAGCCAGTCGCAATGGCCGGCTAAGTGGGTCGGTGTGGCACGAAGCCCTAACCTCTCCAACCCTCGCCCCAGACCAAGGCCTTCATCCACCGCGAACTGCTGGCCTACCTGTACTCTTCGGCAGACCAGAGCAGCCTCATGGAGGAGTCGGCCGACCTGGCCCAGCGGCGAGAGGACTTGCTGCGCATGTACCACGCGCTCAAGGAGGCGCTCAAGATCATCGGGGACATCAGCACCAGCACTGTGTCCATACCCGTGCCCCCACCCGTTGACGACACCTGGCTTCAGAGTGCCAGCAGCCACAGGTCTGGGAGGCCCAGTCACCCCATGCTGCAGAGGCTGCTGCCTTTGAGTTCCCCACTCCCCCCAAGGGTCAGGGCACAGCCTGTGGGTGGGTGGGGTGGAGGGACCCAGCCCGGGCAGCACAGCACCCAGAGCCAGCCAGTGGGAGCTGCTACCCCGCCCAGGCCTGAAGGGTCCAGGAGAGAAGGCTTAAAGGTCTGCCTGTCTCCTGGTACCTTCTGTTGGTTAAGCCCAAGTGGGAGCCAGAGGGCCAGGGGCCCAGGCGGCCCTGGCCGTGGGGGTCAGCCTCCTGGAGTACAGCTGAGAATGCAGGTGGGCAGGGGCTAGAGGGGCACTTGGAGGGCATGACCAGTACATTCCCTCCTCCCCAAGCCCTCCAGAGCTGTTGGTGAGAAAGGAGGCCCTGGTGAAGGCAATGCCAAGCATCAGGCAGGGACATCTAAGCAGGGGCAGCAGGAGAAAGGGTCAGTCAGGGAAATCTCACAGAAGGTGCCAGCCCTAGTGGGGCCTCAGGGAGCAGGGAGTTACTGACGGCGAGGCTCAGCACCTAGCCTGGGGAGCAGAGGGTGTTCAGCCCCAGGGAGGAGTCTGGGGGGCACCTGAGGCAGGGTCTTCTCAGATCTACAGCCTCTGGAGGCATTGGATTTTTTTTTTTCTATCATTAATCTACAATTACATGAAGGATACTGTTTACCAGGCTCCCCCCTTCACCAAGTCCCCCCTACATACCCTTTGCAGTCACTGTCCATCAGCGTAGCAAGATGCTATATAAATACCACCTGTCTTCTCTGTGTTGCCCAGCCCTCCCCGTGCCCTCCCCATTATACATGCTAATTGTAATGCCCCCTTTCTTTTTCCCCCTTATCCCTCCCTTCCCCCCCACCCTCCCCAGTCCCTTTCCCTTTGGTAACTGTAGTCCATTCTTGGTTCTGTGATTCTGCTGCTGTTTTGTTCCTTCAGTTTTTCTTTGTTCTTATACTCCACATATGAGTGAAATCATTTGGTACTTGTCTTTCTCTGCCTGGCTTATTTCACTGAGCATAACACCCTCTAGCTCCATCCATGTTGTTGCGAATGGTAAGATCTGTTTTTTTCTTGTGGCTGAGTAATATTCCATTGTGTATATGTACCACATCTTCTTCATCCATTCATCTATTGAGGGGCATTGGATTTTACATGGAGGGCAGGGCTGAGCTCTGGAAGGATCTTTGGCTATGAGGGTAGATGGGAGGAGGTGGAAAGGTGGGGAGGCCTGAGTCGGGTCAGTGACAGGGAAATGCCTGTAGGCACAAGATCAGAGGGCAGCCAGAGCCTCAGTGGCCAAGGACAGGTGCCAGGACCCTGGCTAGGCAGGTCTAGGGGGTGGACAGAGGATCCCAGGGCACCTAGGACCAGGCACTCAGCTGCATTTTCCCAGGGGGTCGCGGGTACCAGCCGGTGCTACAGGGGAGGCTGGGGGCTGCGCTGGCCAGAAGCTCCCCCTGCCTCCAGCCTCACCCGCCCGCGGCCTCCAGCTCACACACTGCCTTCTTTCACAGCCCCACTCCACAGCGCCGACCCACGTCCAGCGTGCACCCCCCCGGCCGGCCCCCGGCAGTGAGGGGCCCCACCCCGGGGCCTCCCCTGACCCCCATGCCAGTGGGGGCAGCAGCCTCCCTCTCGGTGCCCCCCATCCCATCCCGGCCCGGACCCCAGAACGCGTTTGCCAACAACGACCCCTTCTCAGTCCCGCCTCAGATCCCGTCGCGGCCAGCTCGGATTCCGCCCGGCATTCCGCCCGGAGTGCCCAGGTGAGGCTGGGCCCCTCGCGTCTGCCATCCGCTGCTACAGCTGCCGGCCGGTGCCGTGGGGTCTCCTCACATACACCTTCCTGATGGGAGCCCCTTGCATCCCTGCAGCAGTGAAGGCATCATCGGCCCTATTTGGCTGGTTGGGAAACTGAGGCCCAGTGTCAGAGAGAGGTGGCGTCAGGGTGCCTCCGCCTAGTCCTCCGCCTGAGTGGGTGGGCCCACCAGCAGCTCAGGGCCCCTCCTTCAGGGTTTGACCTTTGCTTCCTTCCTGAAGACACGTGTACATCCCCAGACTTGAGGCTGGGCTCCATTCTCCCCACTTCACCCATGAGGGACCTGAGTCCAGCGGGTGGGAGGCGGCTTGCTTCTTTCTGGCGCCCTGCCAGGCTTGGGAGCCACCAGCACGTCGGCCTGCACCCGGGGCGGGGGCGGTGGGACCTGGGGCCTCGTGCTGCCCTGCCGCCTGCCTCACTGCATCTCCCCTCGTGTCTGTTCTCTTTGCAGCAGAAGACCCCCTGCGGCACCTGGCCGGCCCACCATTATCCGCCCAGCCGAGCCATCCCTGCTCGACTAGGCTGGGGGCATGTTCTCAGGGGGTCCTTGTGCACCTACGGTGCCAGAGCTTCAGTGGTCTGGGCCCCTCTGCCGCCCCTGGCCCTCCCGTCACCGTGCTGGGACTAGGTTCCCCGAGGCAGCCCGACTCCTCCCTGACCCTGGCGCCCATCCCCAGCTGGACACAGCACCGATGGGGCCTTGGAGCCCTCGGGTGGACGGAGCCAGGGGTTGCACTTTGGGCCAGGGCGCCTGGGGGTAGCAGAGGAGGGGTGCACTCTGGCACCATCCTGAATAAGGATCCTGGCTGGGGCGGGAGACTCATCCACAGCTTCTCTGGCCAGGAAAGCCTGAGTCAACTAGGCCTTCTGGAAACTGGGGCACCTGTACCCCCCCCCCACCTGTCCTTTAAGGGGCGCAGGGAGCGTGCCCACTGCTCAGCAGCAGGAGCTCTAGGCGGTGAACCAGGCCCGGGGCGGCCGGGGTTGTGCATGTTCCTTCTTGGCTGCACTAACCGCACGGCCCGGCCTCCGCTGCCAGAGGCACCCTTGCCAGGTGGGGAGGGAGCCTCATCCCTGCCGGCCTTGCTTTCCTCTCAACCCCCGTCCCTGGCCCCCAGGGCAGCTGGGCTGGGGACTGAGTGCGTGGGGAGGCTTTGGGGGCCTCTCAGCTGCCACCCAGGCCCCCCCAACAGGGTGGGCCCCCCAGCCTCTCCCTGGACTCCCTTGAGCTCTTCGCGCTCACTCCCTGCTCAGTTTGACCACTGTAAGTGCCTGCACTCTGTGTCCTATTAATAAACTAAAATAAAGGGAAGAAGCTTCTGGTGGCTGCTGTGTGGGCCTTCTGTGTGGGTGTTCAGGCTGAGGACATGGGCTGCTGGCCTTCCCCCAGCAGGGCTCTGATGAGGACCACCCATCACGGGCTCCCCAACACCTCCCAGGGCTCTGCTCACGGGGGGTTCACTTCTCCCGGAGGGAACCATGCTATGAAGGGGAGAGCTTTGCTTTCCTTAACAGCTCAGGAGTGGCAGCAGGAATCTCCCCTGGACGCGTGTGCACACACCCACAGGCCTGGCTGCGGCTGGTGACACGGTGCTGGCCTGGAGACCAGATGCAGACCTGGGCCCAGCCCTTCTACCCCAAACTGCAGTGATCAGGCCGCCTCCTACCCCTGCAGTCCTGAGGACTTCCCCCAGGGCCCCAGGCCTTCTGGGGGGAACTTCAGACTTTGCTTTCTGATTTTTCTCTTGTGCCCAGGCGACCACCTCCATCAGCTCCTGCCTGACCCTTCTTCTGAGCTTCACGGGAGACCCCTCCCGCCTGCCTGGCTGCCCACCCCCCTTGGGGGCAGGTCTCTCCCAGCTGGTGTCCCTGAGCCCCAACCACCAGCCTGTGATTTTCTGGCCATAATTTATTGACTCCAGTGCCCGCGCCAGACCGCCCTTTGTTCCAAGGTTGCTGCGAAGGCTTTGGCAGGACCACCCCTCAGCCCTGTCTGGGGCCCCTGCAGAGAGAGCAGGAGGGGAGGGGGGTCTTGCAGGCCTCCACCCTGGAGTTAGGTTACCAGACCTCACATTCCGCCCGCACCCTGCTGGGCCAAGGGGCTGGGCCCCTTCCTGTCAATAAAGTGACTGTCCTGGCAAGAACACTGCAGCATGTCTCCTTCCCAGCCCCTGGCACAAGCAGGCCACCCCCACCAGGGAGCCGCCCCAGCAGCAACAGGCCTCTGGTGGGGCTACAAAGAGAGGAAGAAAGGAAGGCATGGAGTTCCACAAGCAGCAAGCCCCCTCCTGCTGCGGCGTGGCTGAGAGGGCCGGCGGGGAAGGGGAGGGACAGTTTGCTTCCTGGGCCCCGTCCCACACCAGCTGTGCAGGCTGGACGGTGGCCGAAGGCACATTTGCAGTGGGGACAGAGGCAGGGCCAGAAAATCCAATGGTTGCGTTCAAACACCGCAGTGCCCCCAGTACACAATTTCCACCAAAGTAGTGTACCGCTGCGCTGTCCCTTCTGGAGGGCCCAGGCCTGCGAGCCAGCCGGAGCTCCCTGCCTAGCCCCGCCGAGGGGAGGAGATCCCAGGGGCCACACCTCAGGCCCCGACCACACAGACTCCCCTCCTGGAGGAAACTAAGTTGGGGAAGGGAGCCCCAAGTCTCGTGCATGCACCCTAATACCCCTTCTTCCCCCTCCTCCTTCTGGGGCTATGTAGGCACAGGGCGCTTGTCTTGGAAAAAGCGCTTGAGTGTGCAGACCTGTACCACAGCCACCAGCAGCAGGACCGCCACATTCACAGCCGACCAGAAGTTGACCCGCTCCAAGTTGCCCTCCTGCAGGTTGCGGTCACGAGCCTCGAAGGCCCGGAGCAGCGTCAGCATTTGGATGCTGCGTTCCAGCCGGGTTTTCATGGTCTCAATAGACTCCTGTGGGACAGACAGAGAAGCTGGGTCAGGCCTCCATTCTTTGGGGAAAGAGACTGATAAAACTGGGGAGAACTGCATGAGCGTCTGTGATTGATAAAACTAGGGAGAGAGCTGAGAGCACATCCTGTAGCCAGGCTGCTGAGTCTAAATCCCCACTCTGCTGCTCACCAGCTGTGTGATCACAGGCAGTTAATTAACCTCTCTGGGCCTCAGTTTCCTCCTCAGAGTTGCTGTTGAGAATCCAATGTCTAAATAAGTGTAAAGAATGTATTTGCTAGTGGTTAACAGCACAGTTGCTGAAGCCAGACTTGGCTGGGTTCAGATACTGACTGTCAGTTCTAGCTGTGCGGCCTTAGAAGAGTGACTTAGCCATCCTGCCCCTCAGTTAAAATGGAGGAAAATCAGAGCATACTACCTACTTCATAGACTGGTTATGGAGATTTAAGGAGTTACTTAAGCACTTAGAACAGGGTTTACACCTAGAAATAATGTTATTAATTGTGAGCTGCTATTGGGCTTAATTAGGTTGGGGGCACCAAGGGAGGCTGGGTCAGGCCAACTAAGGTGGGGAGGGCAGGGGGACACTGCCACCCAATGCCAGAGATCTGGGAGGAATGGCCCCAGCTCAGCCTGGGCACACCTTGATGTCCTCCATCTTGACATCCAACATCTCCTCGGGCTCCACAGCCTCTGCCCAGCCCTCAACCTCCTCGTCGTCCTGCAGGCTGTCAAAGATGAGTTCAAAGAACACCAGCTTCTCCGAGATTGTGCTGAAGGAGTTGTCAAAGCACAGCTTGTAGTCCCCGGCCTCCGTGGGCTCCACCCTGAGCAGACGGACACACAGACGTGACCCTGAGTAGCCAGCAAGCTGAACTTCACTGCAGGCAGGTTACTGCAGGCAGGGCAGTAACCTGAGGCCGTTGGGGAGGGACAGGGCTGTAACCGAACCCCAGCAGGCAGCGGAACTTAACTCACATGTGCACCCCGTCTGTCTTGCGGGACTCACTGACCAGCAGCATGCCCTGAGGGCTCTCCAGCGTGAAATCCACGTCCAGTCCAGCACCTCCGATCACCTGGGGGGACAGGTAAGAGCAGGTGGAGGGCTAGGAGTAGGCGAAAGGGCACCTGCCAGAGAAAGCCAGGGCTACACCAACCACATAGACCCATACAGACCACCAGGGGCCGAGCGCTGACCAACCCCGTCCTGCCCCACTAGTCTAGCTGGCGGCACCCCTCGCCTGGGTTCAGCCCTCACTAATTGACAGCTTTGGATCTCTGGTCTGGTCACGTCCCCGTCGGAAGTCCTTGATCGACGTTTACCTGGCCACGCCCCAAATGAGACGGCAGGGATCAGCTTTCTTCAGCCCAACCCCAGGGAAATCTATGTAGACCACGCCCACTCGCGAAGTTCCTGACCTCAAAAGGGATCCTCGGTGGCCCCGCCCCCTAAGGTATTCTCATCCTGGCTCCGCCTCCTTTATTCCCGCCCCTTCCGCTCCCACGCGCTGTCCCGCCCCCTCGGTACCGCTCTCGCTAGCTCCGCCCCCGCGCTTCTACGCTCGGGCTCCGTCCTTTTCCCTCTTTAATGCATGCCTAACTTCAGCTGCTTGGCCTCGCCTCCTCACCCTGGCTCCTCTGGCTCGCCTGCTCTGGAGCCCTCTACCTGATACTCGGTCTCCAGGCTTGCGTTGGCTGGCGCGGACTGGTAGAAACACTGCTTCCTCCCCGCAGGTAGCAGGAAAGTGAAATCGCCGTCCTGGATCGGCGGGGGCCCTGCCCCTCCCACACCCACTGGGGGCAGTAGTAGCCACAGTGCCCAGGCTAAGGCAGCACGGGCCGCCATCATCCGGGTCACCCTCCGGTCTGCTAATGGGTCGCGGCTCCTTTAAGAATTAGCCCTGCCCCCTCTGCTACTCGACGGAGCTCAATGGCACCCGCTTCTGCCCTATGTCCGAATCTTGAGGAGCCAGAGGTGAAGGACCCCCTGAGACCTTAGCTGCCCTGGTGAATGCCTGATGAGCCTAAACACGGTCATCTTTCTAAAGTTTTTTTTTCGAAAGCCTTCCAGCTCTAGTCTCCATCGCTGGTCGGACAAAATGACCAAAATAAGTACCATGGTACAGCATCTTTCTCAGGCAAAAATTAGGACAACTAAGGTTGGAGCGGCCGGGTCCTTCCAAGCTACTACCCTGCAGTTTTCCCAGAGTACGCCACGCGAGACGACCAGTAGGAAATCCAGGCTGGTGGGGCGGGTCCAAAAAAAATAAGAGCCTGGATTTGGACCTGCGCGCGACGCGTAGGTCTCGCGATTAAAACGACTCGGGACGGAGCGGAGATCCTTTCTTGCAGACGAGGGTTTCGTGTAGTCCCGCATCTACGAACTTGACCTCAATTGTCCCTGTTCCCTTTGCACCCACCACTTTCTCAGTTTCCTCGTGATGGAGCACCCCATAGGGACGGCTGTGAGAATTGAGCGGGATGAAGCGCTGTTTTTTTTCTGTAGAGTCAGTAGCGCGGCATGGCCCCACCCTGTGCCCCAAGAGTCTTAAACTGGGTGGGAGGGGGGCAGAAATAAGAGTGATGACGAGGCCCAAGGTAAGAAAAAAGCTCAGGTGCTTAAGAGCACGGAAAAGAGTGTGGGTCTGGGAGCTTAGTTCAAACCATACGCCGCCTTTCACTTGAAATCGCCCTGCTGGGCCTGTTTTCTCATCTGTAAAATGGGGGTGATGGTATGCCGCTTGCTTAGTGCTTGAGGCATCCATAAGTCCTCGGTAAATAATCTGTTACAGTCCTTTTTCATTGCTTCCCATTGGCCAGCCCGCCATTTATCCTCTCCCTCAGCGCGACCTCGTGGATTTGCAGGTGACCCCCCTCTGGGAGGCGAGCCAGAGGAGGCCGGGAGAAGAGATGTGGCCGGGCCTGAAGACAGGCGTGCATTAAAGAAGACGTTGGAGAAATGGACTCTTAACTTGGTTTAGATAGAAGTTTTGAGTCTTTAAAGATAGGCCTGGGTGAGATTGCTAGGTGATGATGTTTCCTCTTCAAAACAGCTGGTAGCTGTCAGCTTTTTCCTGCATTTGGAGAACTTGGGTGTCTTGCCAACGGGTTTCAACCCTGGAGAAGTTCACTATGGATTCAATGAGACCAAAGAAATGACAGTGGAACATTCTTGGGGTGAAAGGGTTTATACCCAACTTATTTCCATGGTGGCAGGTCAATCACTAAAATCTCATCCATTCATAGGGAGTCTGCATGCAGCAAGCCGGTCTCTGCCTCTAGGCCTCTCTACCCGCACAGCCGTCTCAGTCCACTCCGGCCTCTGCTCTGCTCTCCAGCAGCCTTGCAGCCGTGCCACCGTGTCACCCAGAGCATGTGTGTAGTGAGCTAGCCAACCCAGGGCCAGGTGAGAATCCTGGCCATAGGAGCCTTCACTTTATCCACGTTGGGGAAGTAATAGCACTTTGTACTGTCAAAGGTTATGTTCAGTCACGTTAATATTCTTTTTCACTCCCAACCTTATTATTCATGGTGCGGACATTTTGAACTATTTGTGGAGAATGGGTGCTTTCCTTTTTAATGGATTTTTTTTTAATGAAGTGAAATTCACATTACCTAAAATTCACCATTTTAAAGTGAACAAATCAGTGGTACTTAGTATACACACAATGTTTGTGAGCACCATGTCTTTATTCGCCAAGAATTTCATTAGCCTAAAAGGAAACCCAAAATGAAGCACTTATTGGTGGTTGCTGCAGGTTCTGGCAACCACCAATCCACCTCTGGATTTTCCAGTTCTGGATGTTTTGTATGAATGGAGTATGTGACCATTTGTGTCTGGCCTCATTCACTTAACATAATGTTTTAGAGGTTCATCCTCATAGCATTAAAGTATTTAATTCCTTTTTACAGCTGAATAATATTCCACTCTGTGATGGACCACAATATATGTATCCATTCCTCCATTGATGGACATTTGGGTTGTTTCTACTTTTTGGCCATTGTGAATAATGCTGCTGTGAACATGTGTGCATGTGTATTTGAGTATCTGCTTTCAGTTATTTGGGGTATATACATTGGAATAAAACCACTGGGTTTTATGATAATTCTAGGTTTAATTTTTTGAGGAACTGCTATACTGTTTTCTGCAGTGGCTGCACCACTTTATATTCCCACCAACCACCCATATGAGGATTCCAGTTTCTCCACATCCTTGTCAACACTTGTTATTTTCCATTTGACTTTTACTGTTGCCATCCTAACAGGTGTGAAGTTGTACCTCCCTATGGTTTTGATTTGCATTTCCCTAATGATGAGCATCTTTACAGGTGCCTTTTGGCCATGTGTAGCTCTAATTTGGAGAAATGTCTGTTCAAGTCTGTTGGAGTGTTTTTTTATATACATATGTATACAACAACAATAGTATGTTACAGCAATATAACAATATTATAACCCCTTTCAGGTTCCTGACCCAATTCCAATATGTGGGAAGGGAGAGGGGCTCTTCTCACACAC